TCTACTCCACATGCAATGACAAAATGGAAAATGAGAACCAAACTTACTGTGTTCACATCTCACTCCAGTTACACCAGGAAGTCAGACAACCAGTTAAAACAAAATGAAGCGAAACGAGGGGCTCGGGTGTCTACATTTCAGGTGGGGAATATGGTGCGTGTACGCAAACCAACGCATGTTCCTGAAGGACATTCAAAGTTCACACAGCCAGTAGTAAGTGGGCCCAAGCACATACAGATTGGCACTCTTCTATATATGAGTGCCACATATACGTGTCTTCAGCGAAATCACATGCTGGACGGATGATGAAACTTAACTTTAGGACTTTGATCCGTGAAAATGCAGTCAGGAGGTTCTACTTGGCAGCCGCTGGACGCATGGTGAAGCGAACAGTTTTGTTTGTTAGCCGAGTCTATTGCAGATTGTCTCCGTGTTTGGACAAATGGTTCATTTGGATAATTAATACAATCTATGATATTAAATAGAATTATAAATATATGCTCATCATTATTAGGGTTGCATGTTTATCACTTGATTTTCTTAATGATTTATTACAATATGAAATCTGAAAATGAGTGAGACATTCATTTAATATAAAGTATTTAATGTCCGCTCGTGTACTGGACTATTGTTTCCACATAGGTTTCGCTTTCTGCATTGTGAGTTTCAATTCATCAAAACATGTAAAACCTGTAGAGTACTGCCTGTTTCTATGTTACTAGTTCAGTGACATCAGAAAATATGTTGTCCTGTTGTCATGTCATATAAATGAGGCAGTCGGTGAAAAAGGTCTAGTAAGGTCTATCTCTACGAGGTAGGTGACAACTGTGTTTTATTGATTTTGAACTGTTTACTTGTACAGAAATGGTAGATCATTGCACTACTTCGTCTCACTCCTATCATTGGGTAGGATTAGTTTTTCTCAGTTCTTTATAAGTCATCAGTGCACTGTAAATGATTTCTGTTGTTTTCACAGGATTATACTGTTTTTCTCAACAGTTTCTTACTGTATAATCTATGTACAGTAAGTTACAGTAGATTTAGTTGTTTTCACAGTATTAAATTGTTTTTTCAACAGTTATGTACTGTGCACACAGTTGACAGTATGTTACTGTAGAATTGCAATGCATTCTGGGAAATTATCAGTTACTGTTAATCTAAATACAGCAGTGCAATTGACCGCGAAAAACACCACACACAGTTCCACGGGTAAAATTGCTAGCCTACTAATGTTATTCTTACATTTAAAATAAAAATGTAGCACTGGTTGACCATTAACAGTCATAATTTATGACATAATTTATGTCAGTGGGGTGTGCATGGGAGCATATTTGACTTTGGAAGAGTTTCTCTGTCGTGTCAGTGGTGCTGCTGTCTTTTCTGCCGACCTGCAACTTCTTCATCTGGTAAGTAATATAATTCTTATAATGTGTATGCAAACGGATTCTAGCTAATAACTTTAAAGTTATTTAGAATAGCTGACCACGATTTCTATATTCAATTTAATATATTCTAGACATTTTAATATAATATGTATATGATAGGCTACTCTTCAATGTAGCCATTTGGGATATTACTGTAAATTCAAATACATTAGTACGAAATGACCGCGAAAAATAACCACAACAAGCTGCCATTTTATGAAGAACTCTTCAGTTCCCTTCCCTCTGTAAGAACACGCAGGCCGTGCATCGCGTCGCTGTCGGTCGGCAACGTTTTCGCCATACATCTGGTTAGTAATTCATATTTTTATGCAAACCATATGAGTTACTTACGTTAACGTTAGAAAGAAGTGGCCGCGGAATGTTCTACGTCTGTATAAGTCAGACGCGGATTTCTTTTATGTTGATAGCCTTACTTGATTTAATGTGATTTTATTGACATATATTTCATATGTAACCTCTTATACGGTCAAAATGGTCTAATCATTTTGTTATTTACCACGTTAAGTCGGTGGAAGCGCCTGCACGTTCATTATTTTATGACTTACAGGGGTTAGGAATTGCTAATCGATAAATGTATCCTGAAATCGGACATCCAAGGTTAGGATTCGGATTTATTGTTATTAAATTATAGTGCCGATTCCTCTTATTGATTTTTTCACGCTTATTTTCGTGTAAATCCTGACCTGGCGTTCCGCCATTTAACGTTAACGTTACTGCTACCTCAGTGATAACTGATGGACCACGGAAAGCGCCCAGTGTATTTTTGTCCAAAATACAAAGCTACGTGTGACTATAATATCATTGTTTTTTTTTTTTTTTTTTTTTTTTTTAACTATGTGTAAACTGACATGTAGCCTACTCATTTGAAGGGAACGATGCCTTGTCAATCTTTTTTTAAGTCATGTATCACACAAGCAAGATTTAACCTACGTTTTCACGTGATGTTGAGTTATGTTTCAGCTTGCGTTGCATTCAAAAGAAAAGAGTGGACGATAGAGATGAGTTATCTTTAGCCGTTCTTGGCATATTTATTTCAGCTGTTGACACATCAGTCTCACGGTCGAACTAACAGCACAGAGAGTAATGAAGATTCTCTCAGTAATATGATCCTCTTAACTACGGTAAATCAACTTGGACAAACATAATAATAATACAAACGCATCCTCCATAGCCTATACTTTAGTGCCCTCTTGTGGCATAAACATATGCACAACACTGAACAGTATAGCATTGTATTATATTACACAGCATACAACCGAGGACATAATGAACATACTTTAACAATTGATTTTAAACAACAGTCCAACAAACAAGATTTTAGTATTAAGTGAATTACACTTTAGACATCATTTTGTCTGTTTTTGCTGTTTAGCCAAAACAACAATAACAAAAACGTACTGTATTTTAACTGTCTTGTCTGTTCTCCTTTTCCACAGGTGTGAGCTGTGCATGTTAAGAAGACCCCTATCCATCTTGATGACCGATGAATTGTAAATCTAATCTAATTTAATTATTCTATTTATCTAACTACTACTACTATACCTTGGTCCAGTACTGACCCACTGAGAACATTTTAAACGGATTATTATCCATCTGTGAATTTTGTCTATCTGCAAGTTGTTAAGAATTGTTGTGTGAAAATAAATGTTGTTGTACAGTTTAAGGTTTAATTGCATAAAAGCTTGGATAGAAAACTTCCTATTGCAAAAGTTAGAACATAAGTCTGCATATAAATGATTATTAATACCGTAATGCAAGTTTTTCACGGCACATGTGCATGATGAGGTTGTTTTGTGTTTAGTTTTTTTTTTTAAAGGACACTGGATAACTTGTCATTTTGTTATACTCATCTGGATTGGTGGTTTACTCGTCAAAGCTTTTATAGTTTATAAGTTTATATGTGTCTCCCAGCCCTGCAAATCTGGTCCCTTAGATAGAAACAAAACAGTCTATCTCAAACCAATAGACAATCTTAGACTAGTTTAAGCTGTTTTACCCCAGCAGGGAGTGGGTGGATGAGTTGTTATGAACTATCTTTCTAATAGATTGATCAGATAGCACCCCTTTAATCTTTTCTATTTTACCTGTTCATGATAATTTTTGCATGTATTTATGCATAATTGTTCATGATTGTCATGCATGATTTTTATTGTATTATATTACATTTTTATTATTAATGTATTTAATTGTATTAATGTATTTAAATGTATATTATGTAAATGTACTAATGTGTTTGAAAATACACAATAAACCTTGTGCAGTTAAAGCTTCAATTGTTCTTTTTTCTATTTCCCATTAACAGTTAAAATAATATTTCTACGGATTTTCTACAGGTTACACAGTAGCACTATAAAATAAATACAATAACATTTCATACTATACAGTATTATTAAAAATTAACAGTGTAATTCTGTACTTTAATATGGTAAGAAATTACAGTAAAATAATGTTATTAAATTTGCAGTATGCTTAACAGTACTGTAGTTAGTGTTACGGTAATTTTACTGTTAAATGAAATACAGCAAGTACTGGATAATTGTTGCCAGTAAGTTACTGTTAATTTGACAAGAAATTTTTTACAGTGTGTCTGTAAAAGTGTTTTAGCCAGTTCCCCTTGACCCGGCATATGTGGTTTATGAGGAACTCAAATGTGTATTATGACATAGGTTTTATAATGTAATGAGGTTTATGAAGACACTTCCTGCGGCTTAAAAAACATATTAAACTGTGTTTTTGTTGTTGTTGTTTTTTAAGGAAAAAAACGATTCATTTTGGGAAAAATAGCAATTAATTTTACAGAAATTGCCTATTCTTTTTGGAAAAGTATTGATTCCCTTTTGAAAAGTAGCAACTCATTTTGGAAAAATAAATATGAAAATAAATAAAAGTGGAAAAAAAATAAATGCATAAATAAATAAAAAAAAGTAAAATGTGGAAAAATACAATTACATGTAAATAAGGAAATAAAAGTATAAATATTTATTTATTTTTCTTTTTTTACATTTCTACATATATTTATTTATGTATTATTTTTATATTATTTTTATCTTTGGAATTCCATAAAATATTGGTTACTTTGGAAACTCAAGCTTAGAACTGTTGTTTCTAATGAACCTCTTTTTCAGTAGGCTATGCATTATCAGGAAACAGGTGCAGAGTATGTGTGGGAGACTGGGGCAGTTTGGCACAAGCCTCATGCTTAGTTCTGTGGTATCTCTAGCAGAAAAAAAAAACAAAGTTTCTCGACCATGTTCAAGTGAACGTTTCTGTCATAAAATACTTTTTCCTTAAGTTTGTTCATTCATAAATACACTTATATTGTGCATGAGTCAACGGACCCCACATTAAAAGTCAAGTTTTATAATGAAAGCAACACAAAAAGGTTATTAATAATAATAATTATGATTAATTTGAGAAAGTAACTTTTTTTATCACTTAAACAGTAGACTGGCACATTAATTTCTGGATAGACCCTGCTGGCATTATATTTGTGTTGAGTAATTAATCAAATCCTTTATAAGTAATTGTTACCTTTCTCTCTATTTGCCAACCAAATATTTCGAAGTGGAGAGACTCCTCCCCTGACACTGACATGAAACAGCACTCGTTTCTGTCAGCAGATCTTTGCACGACTCACACAAAGACGTGTCAGCATCACTTCAACAAGGTGAGGTGGACTCATTTTATAAAAAGTTAATATAGCAGATTTGTATTCATTTATTACTTTACTATTAAACCACAATTATTAACATTAGAAGCATTGCAAACCTCGTTGTGAACAACATTTTTGGTTGAGTGCATACCATAAACCTTTTTATATGCAATAATTGAACTGCATAACACCATTTTGAAAGTAAACGAGTATTTTAGAGTAAGAACATTGTTTTGCTTTAATGCATTTTTAATTTCAGGTCATACATTTGAATCCATTCTGAATCCACTGGAGGATCCGTCTGAAGTCTTTCTGCTTGTAGTTCAGTGTAAGTGATCAGCAGATATGTTTTGCCAAAACTTTTAATGTTATTTTATGGTCGTCTGGTTTTTCTGTAATTGTGTATTTCATTTTGAAAAAACTTTCTCTAACTACAAGTGCACAATAATAGGAGTAAAACCGGTTCTATTCTTTACCCCATCAGAACAATACAAAGAAGGTACAGCTGCTGTCACTGGGGCAGTCTCCTTTCATTCAGCTACTAATATGCACCCTTTAGGAGTAAATGAGATATAAAAGTATAGTTTTGAAAGGGTACTGCTGTACATTTCTTACTAAGAGTAAACACTGTTTTTCCAACAGGATTGTCTGAAACCGAAACACGATGAGGACTCTGAATTATTTGTCTGATCTGAGAGAGTCCAGGTTCGGTCAGCCTCCTCCCAGACACGGTCTGAACTTGCTGTGGTGGTTTGTTCATGAATGTGTTCAGATTGACTCCAATGGTCGTATAATTGCACTCTACAACCCTGCAAATGGCGCTTTTGGCTTTTGTCCATTTCATAATAAGGAAGGACTTCTTCCTTACTCTTATCTCCCGTACTATGAGGTGGGCAACCTGAACAAGACTGACTCACTGCCTGGTTATGTCACTGAGAAATACTCAAGATGGTCAAATGACAGCAACAAAGATCGCATTATTGTTTCCTTTAACTCAGGGTGGAACAGGTTTGACAGCATGTATGTGACACAACACTCGGGTGTGCTGAGCTTTGACCAGAATCACACTTACAACATTAGCATTGATCTTCTGATGGAAATTAAAAGTTTGAGAAACCGTGCAGAATTCCTCAGACAAACTAATGATCCAAATCAGATGTATTTCCATCAACAATCAAACATACGCGCACACTTTACAGCTTCACATCTGCAGGGTCAAAGGTCACACCAAATTACTCAGGATGACTGTACATCATGCTGCGCTTTGGTGTTTGTTTTATTGTTTTTGTTTTTTATCATTTTGGCCTGTCTGTTTTATTTACGGGGGAAAAAATTGTTTGATTAACAGCCTTGTAACAAAAATGTTACTTTGTTTGCATTGAAAGCTCATAAATTTGTTTACATTGAAAGCTCATAAATGCTTGTTGTTACATACAATATGATGGTTGCAAAGATGAAAACAAATAGGGACCAAATGTAAAACTTTAAGATTTTATATTAATCTGAATAGTCACTGTAACTTTGCATCCTCGCACTGTCTTACTAGTTATTGTGATTAAGCTTCTCTAGTTCTGGGCTCATATATGTTGTGTTGGTTATTATTTGACATATTTCATATATCCTGTGTAGTAATAAATCTCCCAAAACCTCTATGATTGCAAGTGTTGTGTGATGAAATATAAATCCTAACTCTATTGATCATTTTAGTATGGATAATATGAAATCTGAAGTGTTTGATATTAGATAGGTATTTAATGTAAATCCCCTCATGAATGTCCAACCTGTGTCTTTTCACACTGATTCATCACTATAGCAACAGACACACACATACAACCTGTAGGACAACAAATGTGTGTCAATATGGAGTTCTTTTATTAGTTCAGTGACATCAGCAAATATGCATTAGTATTAATGATGCATTCGGAGCGAACAATCTAGTTTTGCTATAATTAAAATTTGTTAATAATTAAAGATCTATCTAATTCAATTCATTTTACTATCAATTTAATATGTCGTCAAAATTACTAATTGTTAGATAGATTTGTCAGAAATGATACAAAAAAGACAATTTTTTACATGAATGCCCAAAAAGACTTGACTGCAATGGCAAAGTAAAGAGTACTGAAATCTATTATGATTCAAACTATGTCCAGTATGTGTGTGTCTGGTGCAGTGTGTGGTTGCTCGTGTGACACGTCGTCCACTGCTATCTCTCGCTTCAGTTTCGGTTTCGGTTTCCTACAGTCAGCTGACCTCTCTCTCCCTCCCTGGATGAACTAAATGTGTTTTTTGTTTATTCACATGTTTGTACAAATACATGCAGTCATTTTTATACCTCTGTTCTTTTAGAAAGTTTACACTCCAATAGAAAACAACAACGACGATCTTTAACTTTCAAAACTGTAAGAAACGAAGAAAAAAGTAAAATAGTAATACACTCTAAAAAATGCTGGGTTGTTTTAACCCAACTTTGGGTCAAATATGGACTAACCCAGCCGTTGGGTTAAATTTGTACATTACATTTTTAACCCAACATTTCGGGTTTGTCCATATTTGACCCAAAATTGGGTTAAAACAACCCAGCATTTTTTTAGAGTGATACTAATAAACGGGAAGCTTTTTAATTTCTGTAACAATTATTCCTACAAAATGACTGTCGAATTAAGGTTAACTATTTAAGTCTAGACTATATAGTTTAGTTCCACAGAAATGTTTCTTGATAATAATGTAATGTATGGTCCAAGCGTGTGTGTTTTTCACCGCCCACTAACACACACGGAGAATAAAAAGAGCGCGTGCGCGACACAGACGCAGATCTCCTCAGCGCGCGTGAATAAGGTACAGTATTATTTTTGTCTTGTATTGGTTTTTCTTAATACGACCAATTTTAATTGATTTATAATATAAATATTATAATTTTGTACTTAACGCCGGATGTTATCTTTTAAATACTTTATTAAACAACGTCAAACAGATGTCGTCGTCAAAAACAGGCGTCGAAAACTGTTTTGCATCGACGTGCATTCTGTATTCCAGATGGGCTGAACTGGGTGTGTGTTTACAGAGAAATGAAACCTACTGTGTCCACTTGTTGCTCCAATAAAACAGACTAGATTAAAAAAAAAAATACACTAAATAATTACATTTTGCTTTACTGGTTCTCGTTTTTGTCTTCTTTTACTTTGTTCTTTTTTTAAGTAAGTAAATCAATTCACTAGATGAAGAGCTCCTGTCAGACTCTTGGAGGATCTGTGTTTGGTGCAGTTTAACTTACATTTTCATGTCTATCCTGCACATATGATCAATATCTGGAAATATAAATGTGCCAAGCTGAAAGCAAATGAAAGAAATGTTACATCTAATTTCAGTGTTCTTTAAGGAAATAAAGTTTGTGGTTAATATGTCAATCACAGCTAATTGAGCTATTTTGGTCCCTCTGAATTTAATAAAATAAACATTTATCAAAAAAAAAAAACATCACTTGCGCTGTTTACATTGAAGCACACACACATTGGAGCACAGAAACTTATCAACGCTGTCAGCAACTTTAAGTATAAAAACCTTCACAACTGAATCGCTACATAATATATTTCTCAGCATCTTTCTCTCTCTCTGCATGTTTACTTTCTAGTTTCCGATTCCACATTTCATTCTGTACTCTGTACTATACAACAATCAATGGTTGACTTTTTGAAAGTTGTATTTATTTTAATGGAGTTATCACACTTATCTTATTTGCCAATTAACCAGTTTTAATTATTGCAATAAAGACGAAGCTAATGGTAACATTGCAATAAGAAACTCCAACGCATTCTCATCCCAAGCCGTCATATACGACGCTTTTGCAAAGCGTAAACATCCAACGCACATGCCACCCTTTAGCGTCAATATAACACGCTTCGGTTATGGGTAGGTTTAGGTCTGGGTTAGGGTTAGACCACTAGGAGGCGCCTTCTGGCCCATATATATCTGCGTCTCATATTGACGCTAAAGGGTGCCATGTGTGTTGGATGTCAAGCTTTGGCAAAAGCATCGTATATGATGCCTTGGGGTGAGATTGGGCTCAAAACTGTCATTGGACATGCAAAAAATTGTTGACCAAAAAAAAAAAGTAACTTCTGGTCAAATATTTTGCTTTAAAACAACAATAACAGATTTAAGTTGTCAATGCTGGCAACTGACCATGGTATAAGCGGGATAACCCATGGATTACAGCTCAGCAATGCATTAAACGATTTTAATGCACTTCACGCTCTTTGCTTCCACATCATGCTTTTTTAATGAGCAGCTAGCCTTGGATTATCCCTTACATATTACGCTACCATACTTGTAATATACACAATAAAATAGGCTATATATATATATATATATATATATATATATATTCGAGATAGTCCAGGCAAATGTAATTTTCACTGTATTCAGTCAACTATTTATTCCTTTCTGTTTTCTAGACACAATGGTGCGACCGAGAACACTGAATGAACTGTCCCATCTGAGAGACACGGAGTTTGGTCAGCCGTATCCCAGACATGGTCTCAGTCTGCTGTGGTGGTTTGCTAATAAATGTGTTGATATTGATGACGAGGGCAATATGAATGCACAAGATTGCGACCCAGAACATACAGACTTTGGTTTCCATCCGTTCCATAACAGGGAAGGCATTCTTCCTGACTCTGACCTGCCGTACTATGAAATGGGTAACCTGCACTATCCTGGACACATGCCAAACCAAGTCAAGAAGAACTATGACCCTGATGTGCGTGAAAGCAACGCAGATCGTATTGTCGTTTCAGTCGATTCAGACTGGGAAGACAAACGGTTTGACATGATTTACGTGACTCATCACTTAGGGTGAAATGAAGAGGTTCGATAGTAGACTAATTTTAAAGGATGTGAAACGCAGCAGGCAGTCGGTCAGAACTGTATAAGATGAGGCTTAGTTGAACAGACACACCAGGCAGGGTTCAAACTTCACTTATTTACTGAAGAGCTGGTTGATTTACATATGGGGTATGTAGGTGTGGTTCTATAACAAATTAAACAAATAAATAAACATTAGCATACATATACATCATTAATAATAAACATTATTAACAGCATTCAGTCTAACAAACCCATTAAGGAAGTGCTATCAGACAGAATAATAATTCTAAACATCACCACAAGGAGGTGCTAATAGCACATAAATGCGTTTAACTAGACATTCCATATGCTCAGTATACGGCGCTGATTACCTCATGATAATGATCATCTCTAAAGTAACCGTAAAACTAATAATAACATAATGTCTCATACATAACATAAAGTAACATGCAGAATCTCCGAAAAATTACTAAAGAGGAAGTAATACAGGCAGATATATGCCAATCAGGGACCGCTCGCGCTAATGAACATCGTCTAACAGTTTCTGCATACTAACGGAAAAACTTGGAAATATAAACTTACTTGGTATGTACGCACACAGCGACTCAATGTATATGTAAACCAGCTGAATAATCGTCGAACACTACAGATTAACTCAACTGAAACTGTCAAGTATCTTAACTAATAATTATAATGCGTCTTCTCTCTCCGACTGAATCCACCTCAGCACCAATTCACCTCAGCACGAATGTCACTATGGCAACCTTGTACTCTATGATTGGTTAAAATCGTCCAGGACATTTAAA